ATTAGATATACACTGCCTGGGCAAAAAAAAAAGTCACACATTCTAAGATTTAGTTAGATGGCCTTTAGCTATGGCTCCATCCCGATATCAGCTAATTACTGGTTCAGCACTAGCTATAGAAAGCCCCTAACACAAGATAGCTACAGTCAAATAGCTAGAGCTAAAAAATCACCCCCACACATATAATGATTTATAAATATAAGATCATCATTATAATGAACATGGTTTTACAAAACAGTGCCCATTTACCATGAGAAACGTGTTTGATTTAGGGCCTGTTCACACAACGTCAATTTTCTGTGCTGACCTGATCCGTACGCTCCTGCACTAAAAATGTATGCCAATGTATCCCTATGTGTTTTATGGGCTTCCGTTCTCACGTGCGCAGTCCGTTCAGGTTACGACAGAAAAAATACTGCATGTCACATTTTGTCCGGTCAGGAAACGGTCTGGAAACGCAGAACGCGTCAAAAACGCATCAAAAATGCACTGCAGCTAACATACTGACAGCCCCACTCCAGCAAAAAAAAAATTTTAAATTCTTTTTTTTTTTTTTAACTGGAACGCATCAAAAACACGGCAGAAACACAAAGCACCGCGTCTGCAGATCCGCACCTGAAAATCATGTGAACAGGCCCTTAATGTCATCTTACCCAGCATCATATGCTCATCTTTCCTTCATTATCCCTCCAATCCATTCAGCTGATGGCAGTAAGAAAATGAAGCCTTGTAAGCTCCGAGTTTCATTAGAGCTTTCAGAGAGCTGAGACCACTATTCCTACCCCATGTGAGCACCATGAGTCAATCATCGGCACTGTCGACACAAATGCTCCTCCATGCTTGCAAGTATAGCACATTTTCTTCCCTCTAATCAGCTGAACAGAGGGGTGATCAGCTTTGGGAAGTATAGCTGCAGGGTGGGGAATGCCCCTGGCACAACTGTTTGGGACGGAAGGCGAGGTGTCAGTCACACTTTTGCGCAGGCTTGGGTGAACTCAGGCAAAATGGATTTGCACCAAGCCCCCATGTATCAATGGTTGGAAATAATTGAATTTCAATGAGGTGTATAATAAGGAGGGCAGGGAAAGGACACATTTAAGTGTTCTATAAAGAAAAACTTTGGCCCCTTTCACACAGGCATTCCAATCAATTCTGCCTATCAGTTTTTTTTAGGCGGATCTGAATGGAAGACCAATGGTAGTCCATGGGCAGCTGGATCTAAATAAACATGCATCCGTTTACATCTGCTTACCCCCAACTCCAGCTAGCGCCAGAGAAAAAACAGAAGAAAGATCCATTTTGGCAGACCTGATCATGGTGGATTGGGTGCAATCTGATGTAAACTGATGCATGTCCACTTACATCCAACTATCCATAGATCTAACATGGGTCCAGTATGTTAAAGAACTCCGGGCAAAATTGTTCCTAACCCTTGCAGTAGGGCTACCCCTGCATTGCAAGGATTAAGCGCTCATTTTTGTCTAGATGCAACAAAAAAAAAAAGTTATACTCATTTGAACCTCGGAGCCAGCCAGCTTTCACTGCGCTCCCTCCAGCCTGTCTCCTCCTCTGCTGTAGCGATGCAATGTCCCTTGGCATCCTCACATTCTATACACTGTATTGGACGTGATGACTCAGGGACCTTAGACCGCTGGAGCACAAGGGGAGAGAAGCTCCACGGACTGGTCTAAGAGCAAGCAAACCTGAGGTTCTGGTGAGTATAACTTATTTTTGCACCTAGACCGAAAGGAGCACTTAACCCTCTCAGAGAGATGTTAGCCCCACTGCAAGGGGTAAGAAAAATTTTGCCTAGATTTCTTTAAGTTTTTTTTTTTCTCGTGTATATAAAGCGTTTTGTCAATGTTTCTGCATAACCTTCCCCCTTGTTACTCTTACAATGTGAATAGCTACTCAGACATAACCTATAAAACAATAAATGGTCCTTGCTAATGGTGTTTTATGAGGCCTTTAGTGCTCTCTGATTCAGTACTTTGGGAACACTTACGCAGTCAATCATTTATTTAAAAGGGCACTCTTTTTTTTTTCCTTTTCCTTTTAGGTCTCCCAATAATTAAACAGAATGATCTTGTACTAAGTATGATCAGGGGGTCAGATCCTCAGCCCAATTCATGATGTGGAAATTATTCACATGGTTGACATTTTTATGGTGCCTGCATCTGGTAGGAAAAGCAATCATTGTAGGACCATTTTGTTCTGGACATCTGTCTGGCTAGGAAGCCAAAGACCTGAACTTTACAAAACAAACAAACACATTGGGACCCAAATACACTTGGGCTGATGTATAAAACGCTGTTCATATGGCATTCCTGCCACTAGATGAAGCATAGGAATTACTCCTCTGCTCCACCTGGTAGCATTAATGCCAGGTGAATGGCATTTGCCCAGCAATATGCTTGAGGGAAATATATACATCAACCACTTAGGCATCTCACACAGCGCTTACAACATAAACATTTCTGTTTTTTATAGGGCACCAACAGGTTTAGTCAGAAAAGTAGAAGGGAAAACCAGTAAGTGCAAAGTGCAGTACTTATAGCAGCTCATCAGAACCCAAACTGTACTGATCTCACTTCCAATTGGTTGATGTAGGTAACTATAAGCAGCTCATCAGAACCCATACTGTACTGATCTCACTTCCAATTGGTTGATGTAGGTAACTATAAGCAGCTCATCAGAACCCATATGGTACAAAATCCAGACTGTACTGATCTCACGTCCAATTGGTTGATGTAGGTAACTATAAGTAGCTCAACAAAATCCAGACTGTACTGATCTCACTTCCAATTGGTTGATGTAGGTAACTATAAGCAGCTCATCAGAACCCATACGGTACTGATCTCACGTCCAATTGGTTGATGTAGGTAACTATAAGTAGCTCAACAAAATCCAGACTGTACTGATCTCACTTCCAATTGGTTGGAGGTAGGTAATTATACTTTGCCCAACATAAGATAATATTTTACTGACAATATGCTCTGGAAACTCTTAGGAAACTACCGGCTACTTAAAGAAACTCCAGGCATTTTAATTTATATTCCACAATAGATAAAAAAAACACTTTGTGTGACCAAATGCTCCTGCACACCCAGATATTACCATGTAAAATGTATCAGTGACATTATCACTGTCCTGTGCAGGGAGTAAAGATGTGGGAGGGACCCAGCAGGCTTTACCCACTACAGGCTACCTGAAGATAACTACAGGAGAGGGCGTATACAAGACCAGTCACCCTGCACAAGAAGTGAGAATCTGCCAGCTCTGTTTGGGTATTCTGACAGTGGTTGGAGCTGCTGTCAGAATACAAAAGAAACATGGGGGATTTCTCAATCAACACACTAGTAGTGTTGATGGAGGAATCTGCTCTATTTTTTTATTCATCCTGCAAGTTGAATTAAGAAAATAGGGCAGTGTATGGCTGGCTTTAGTCAGCTGCTGTACAAAATAATGGAGACCAGTGGTCAAGATCTACTGATCTTTGCTGTGTCCTTCAATTAACAGAAATAAGGCTTTTTCACTCTAACCCCGTTGGAAGGTGTTGCCTAATGTGGTCTCACCTTAGACAAGGCAACATACCTTATGTGCAATTAGTTCAGTTAATTTTCTGCACAGTGTAGTGCATCGCAACACTCTATAATATATTGCAACCAACTAATTGATTAGTTGATGGAGAGGGGAAGAGATTTTTTTTTAATGCAATTGATGGAAAAAATAATGGGGACACTAATTGATTATGAAAATAATCGTTAGCTGCAGCCCCAACTGCAACCTGCTGACGCATATAGAGTTAAATAGATTATTATAACACACATATATATA